TGTAATATCAGAAAATTTAATTTGTACTATAGAATACTTGAGTACTTTTAAATGCATGTACTTTTGAATACTTAAGTATTTTCAAAAGTACTTCAGTACTTTAACTTGAGTAGATTTTTTTTACCAAGTAACTTTTACTTGTACTTGAGTAGATTTGACCCTGAGTATCAATACTTTTACTCAAGTATTAAAGTCGAGTACTTTGTCCACCATTGCTGGTGGCATTAATCATCGTGTCAAAAAAAAAAAAAGATTAAAGTTTATCTGATGATTAACTGCACACGATACAAWTTTTCCCAACTTTAATGGGAATAAGGCCACAGAAGAGGTGGGCTAATATAAATATATTTTTGCCCACTCCTTTTGAGTGTATGAAAATTGTGTATTTGTAATGGTTCTGTTAGATTCAATAAAATTTAAAGCTTACTTATACCCCATTAAAACAAATAAGACAACTACAAGATTTCATCACTGTGGATTTCATTAAGACGTTTCTTAAAGTTTAAAAATAATATTGATAGCAAACTAAATGATTTTGTTCGAATGTCATCTTTCACACATTTCTACATTCTGTGGAAAACAGTTTCAGTTAGATGTTTACATACAGTTGTTTGGTTCAAGCGTCTCTTCGTTTTCGCTACCACGTAGGAGCACAAATCTATGCAAACAAAAGTTGCCATGGTCTCTGTTATCTTTAAGTTCTGCTGAGAATCAACTGATAAAGTTKATAACTCCTTAGTTTCTTTTGTTTTGCCCCAGATAACTTGTTGTTGAAAGGTAGCATTAGCACTTAACATCAACCATAAACATACTGCAAGACAGGAGTGACAAAATATAGAAATGTGTTTCAGACACGCGCACAAGACACCATGGGGAAGAATCAATCTCATGCCCTGTGAATTTATTTTGCCAAATTTAAATGAAATTGATCCATTATTGATTCAATCAATTTTTTACCCAGCCCTAATGATGAGAGCACATTATTCAACTTTGGATTAAAAAAAATCTTTAAAACAATTAATGACACTTACTCCGTACTCCTTCACTAGCWTTTCAGGGTCTTCATTGAGATACAAAGTTAGTGCTTGGAGGCTGCAAGATCTCCTGGTTGCAATGGAGTTGTCCTGCAAAACACAACAAGAAATGCTTGTTCAAGATGTGAGACTGCAACATACAGTGAATAATTATTACAATTGATGGCTTCTTATATCGTCTAGTAATTGCCTTCTAAAATATATGTAAATGTTTCTGTAGAGAATATAATTGAATTGAAATGCACTGACTAAACTAAATAAGAGGATTAGGGCCACAGAGCAAAAACTAATAT